TATGCACACCCAGAGACTCCTAACCACTTGCCATGGAGTTGACTCCGACCCATGGTCCCCCATATGTGTCAGAGTAGAACTGTGCTCCACAGAATTTGCAATGGCTAATTTTTTGGACGTAGGTTGCCAGGCCTTTCTTCCAAGGTGCCTCTGGGTGAACTTGAACATCCAACCTTTTGGTCAGCAGTCCAGCGCATTCACCATTTGCGTCACCCAGGGACAAGGCGCAGAGATTCTCAACTTAGCGTTGTTTGTAAGAATGGAAAATTGGAAACCACCTAGATACCTGTCAGTGGGGTACATGACCACAAGACCCCACGATGGGGTTCAGTCGGGCAGAGGAGGGATTTCTGGAAGGAGACTGGGTGGCTCTCGGAATCCTGGGGAAGGCGGGAGGCTGGCCTTGGGGAGCCGAGGGGACAGGCCTGTTAGAGCACCTCCATGGATGCCGGGCACCGCGCGCCGCCCGCACCCCACAGCAGTGGGCCCGAAACAGGCTCCACTGCTCTGTGATACACGCTCCAGGCGCAGTCAGGTAGCACCCGTGTGGCCCAGCTTAGGCCGTGTGCCTGCCCCCGTTTGCCAGGGCCCAAGAGCGCAAGCCTCTGGACCTTTCTGGCCTCCGAAGGGAGGCACCGCAGAGGCCCACCCAGCGGCAGGGAGGCCTAAACACTGGGCAGCCAGGCAGTAGCCGATAGATACTCTCACGCACCCTGCTCCCTGCCATGTTTCACAACTCGGAAACAAACATACACTCCTGCCTGACCAGAGGCAGCTTCACCTTCCCCTAAAGGGAGGCCCCGCATGGCCCCACCCCCAGATTCTGCACCCATCCTAAGTCCCCTGCGTTTGCCGTAAGCCCGTTCCCTCTCTGCTTCTAGCACAATCCTCTTGGCATTCTTCAAATCCGTGGACTAAATCTCATGGTTGACCACCACCAGCTTACCTGAGGCAGAGCAATGGGTAGAGAAAAAAGAAAGGAAATGGTACTATAAGTATAAATCAGACACACGATCAGGGCCACAATAGATGGACCCTGATTGATAGATCCTGATAGATGGGCCCTGATAGATAGATCCTGATAGATGGATCCTGATAGATGGACCCTGATAGAT